ACTAGACAGTGACTCGGAGTACGGATTTACTAGTGGTCGAGGTTTTTTTGATTTTCTTGGATAACTACTGACTGCAGCACTTATATCCACCTCGTGGATTGAAGCCTCGAGAATGCTCTACCATTTGTTAGTCATAAATGTTACCTATGATTTTTCAAAAAAAAGAAAATTTTAGAAAGAGTGTCGCAGAACTTTCTTTCCAACCTAATATAATGAGAAGTGGTAAGAAGTATTGAAATCTGAAGGAAATGTGCTTCATAGTGTGTGCAAATTCTCCCGAAAAGCTCTGAAATGGAAACCTTCCTTCTGCCAGAATTTCGATTAGGACTCAAAAACTCCGCCAAATTCGTTGCGATTTCGTCCCCTGTGGTTTCGTTAGAAAGCTCTAAGGAAATCCGCTTGCTCGTGTCGCTGGAATATGAAGTAATTTAGTAAGAGTCCCTGCTCTGGGATGAGCCATTCAACCGTCTGTGACGAGTTGTCGCAGTGGTACTTGGAAAAGTGCCCTCATTTGCTATTTTGCCATGCCTCGGTGCCTTCGAATTTTGTAACTGGTACTTAAGGTTACGACCCCCTCGCCTTCCATTGGCTCGTTAATCTTTGCGCAACGGGCGGTTGACTCTGAAGCCAGCTTCTGTCCCAGCTTGGTCATGTCGTAATTCGCGCTCATGTTATCGCTGTCGTTCTCCTCATCAGCTATGAATGGGACGGAAGCGGAAAATATGCTCATCAGCCAACTGAAGAGCTTCGATGTGTCGAGCGTGTAGGTTGCGCATGTCTTTCATGAGGTTGGTTGTGGCCCGGGCCACGATATTCCGAGTCACAATTCTTCAATTACTATAACAAACCAACTAAACTAACCAGGAAATGTCATTGGGTCATTCCAGCCAAATGAATGAGGCTTTTCGCAGCGCGAAACTTTTTTGCTGGAACCCCAGGTCCTCTGCTAATAAGTTTTTCCGTGGCAAGCAGGTACGATATTCGTGCTCAGGGGATCAAACTGCCCCTGAAAACGAGTTTCCTTGCCAAATGAGGTTGTGAACCCATTGAGAAAAAGAGGAGCAGTGATGGGATTACCACTCACCAAACTCCAGTTTCAAGATTGACCAACATGGACGAAGGGGGAGAGGAGTGAGAAGGGTTACATTTTTGATGCCTTGCATATCCTAAGATGCGAATTGCGTGATGGTTCATACCCTTAGAAGGTCAGCCTGTCTCTCCATTTGGTAATTTCCCCTTCTTCGACCTTCGTTCGTACGTAGGATCTTCCTTAAATCCCATGCGCAATCTGGTCTTTTTTACTGACCCTAAACGCCTCTACATATGTTGCCCTTTGCAGGATATACATGTATGTTTTGGGTTCGGTTGTGCACCTCGAAGTCTCCCCTCTCTGGTGATACATAATGCGCTGACATTTTCTAACATTGATAATTCGGTGATATTCCTTAGTAACGTACCTCGAGGCCTTCCTGAGCGCACGGTCTCCTTCCAGGAGAAGTGAAGTCTGGGACAGGGTCAATTGCCCACTGCGCAAAGAACAAAGATGGGGTCATATTTGGTCGAACGAAAAGGGAGGGGGTCGTATATACAGGGGCCTGCGGTGAAATGCAGTTGTCACCGTCTCCAGGGGAGTGGAGACTTTCAAATGTTAGTGCGACTGCTAACCACAGACAGGTGCACGGCGTACCCCGAGCAGGAGTTTTCACTTCAAAACGCTTTATCTGTCAGCGGCCGTAAGCAGACAAACTTCCTCAAAAGAATCTTGATGCTTTCAGAACAAATCTAAGTGGAAGAAAGTTAGAACTTGCTGAATTGACTTCTAGGGACCACCTCAGAAATTCTGGCAGAAGAAAGCTTTTCAAGAAATTTTGCATATGTTGCAACTCTTCATTAGACTTCAATACTTTTTACCGCTTCTCATTATATGAATTTTGAAGGAAATTATGGACGTTTGAAGATTGCAAAGTCGCGTTCCAGGAAAATGGCTTGAAAAAATCAAGGGGAAAAACGGAACAACGGGACTATTTTTTGAAAGAGTGATTTTTGAAAAAGTTTTAGCACTTATTCGAAAGCGCTAATCTTCTAGTTTCTAATTAGCCTTAGACATCTGCAAAAAGTTGATTATGAAGAAAGTTATGAATGTTTGAATGTCGAAAACTCGCGTGTGCACAAAAAACGGAACAACGGGACGATTTTTTGAAGAATTGAACATTCGCAACATTTAGCTACTTTTTGGAAAGAAAACAATTTGAAGTTTTTGGTTTTTGTATCCCGTTCCATGAGGTCGCTTCCGAAGAAAGATATGACCCTTCAAACGAAGAGACCCGTATCGTAACGCGATTACTGCAAGGTTTCGTTTGAGTTTATAAAAAGGGAGATTTGAGTTCGGAGAAAAAAATTGGTAGTTTCCTGAAAGTAGAAGTCTCTGTGATCACAACCCCTATTCTAATAATGAAAAAAGTTGGAAATTACTTCTATTTCATGAGTGAAATTCCATGTTGCCTCGATTCCCATCCTCTGTAGAGAGTCCAGATTTTACAAAGAAATAGGCCCTTCCTCCTTTGAAAGGTGATAGGTTTCTTCAAATAAGAAACTGTGAAAAGTGATAGGAAAATTTATTCCAGATTTTCTTTTCTAAAATTTACTCAAACTTTTGAAAATGTTCACTTCCTGTAAAAATCGTTCCGTTGGCCCTTTTTTGGCAAGTTCTTTGGCTTTGAACTGTCATAACCTTCTTGACAATCTACGTTTTGCAATTCTTCACCACCTTTATAAAACTAGAAGGTTGTAGCGTTGTAACGATTACAACTCATTTCAAAATGATGGAATCAAAACATAGCCCTTCCGTCCTTTTCGGGGATTTGTGGTCCGAATTCTGGCAACACGGCTTGTTTTTTTTTCAGGTACTACTGTAACCTTCGTCAGATTCAACTTTTAGCATTTCTTCACCACCTCATCAAAACTAGAAAGTTAGAACTTCCTTGATGTATGCTTGAAGTCATTCCAAAACTGAGTGGACTAATAAATAGCCTGGTTGATCCGCTTTTTTTTCGCCTTGAATTTTCGGGCTAATCTCTAAAACGCGTTCTTTCATGCTCCATATGCTAATAGCCCCCTATAAAACTGAATTGTGGAAAACTGTGAACAATCCGGGAAACTGCGAGTTTTTGGCTGTATAACAAGTACTAAATCTAGATCTCATTTAGTTAGACGAGGCATTGTGATGCGCGGTCTTCCCTTCATAGCTGGTCCGAAAACATTGGGTTTCCTGTAAAGCAAAATTGTGCCTGTAGACAATCAAATATGGACCGGTTTGCCGAAACTGCTTCTGATCTGATGCGTCATGCAGTCATTTTTGGTTGAAACTTGCAGGAGCATTTGAAAGTTGTACCCCTAACCTATCGCGACAGCTAATGTTTTTGATTTGTAAGCTCCATCCACTGCGATTTGACCCCCCAAGCACACGCAACCTCCCCCCCCCCTCCGTCGACCAGTACAGCCTCTCGTTAGACTGGGGCCGACAGACGGTTGACGCCGACCGAGACTTTCTAGGGAATTACGCAAAGTTTTCAAAGTGGTACCAACACGACGGTGGGCACTACACACCACCCCGCTCGTACCTCTGACCACGAATTTACGACTTGAAACACGGAGTTTCAAACGTTTTTGTTCGTTTCAGTCCAAATAAGATCTACATCCGAGTCACAGATACGACCTCATGCTTGAAATTTCCTAGCAAACGGCCGACCAGTAGGGCTCAACATTAGTTGCAGTGCCCGTTTTGCGCTCGCCGGCCAGGAGGTCGGCCGTTACAACAAGAAATATCATACACTTCAACCATAAGGCATCTTAATATGTGTGTATTCGTAATTCTCCAGAGCTTTTCCATAGTCTTTAGTAGTCTATCTACAGCACAAATAAAAATAAAACAACATACGATTGACAAATGAATCATTAGGTTGAGCAAAATTTATCCGCCTTTTCATTTCACCCATAAATTTATTATCTAAACCAAACAAAGCAACAATAAATGCGCAGTCAACCAAACTAGCACTCATGAAGCATGAGCACTCTTTTTTTTCATTTGCGTGAAAGCTTTAGAGTGAAGCAAATACACAAGAGATTGCGGGCCTTCAGACTACATCATAACTTCAGAAATAATCAGCAAAAACAAGGAGCCTGAAAAAACGGCGGATAAATTTTTGCTCAAACTTATAAAATGAATGGAACGTCAACAACCACAAACCCGACAAATTACACTTCATATTTCAACAAGTTATAAAATTTATCAAAGGATACTGAGTTAGCTCAATTTACAATAAAGAAGAAAAACGGACAGCATTGCTGCCTAACCCGAATTTGGCGAAAGCTCTCAACGCTTATTACGTTGTTCCACAACATGGACATGTTTAAGCTGACCTAGTCCATTCAAATACTTCCCAGAAAAGGGATTTCGAAAACAATGAAAGATTAAGTTGCGCAGCCCATTTCCGAATGTCCTAAATAATGCTCATATTGATTACGGAATAAAGTTTAACGAGACAGTTCACAACTGACCTCATATCCAAAACCAGCTGATATTGCCGCAGCCGAAGCAGCCACATTTCCTCGAAATGTACGCTCGCTTGTGTGGTCAACCGTGCGCTGTTGGCTTTCCCATTGCTTCGGTATTCGACAGCGAGCACATACATATATGACGAGAGCAGCTGTCCCAATCCTCCTTAGCTCGCTGTTCTCCACGTGATTCCCGCATTCGGGACAGAACCGAAATAGATCCATCAACATATCCCCTTGTACAAGGTAGTACTGATGTATCGCATTAGGATCTGTCTGCCCGAGTGGCATCATATGAAGAATTCGGGAAGAAATAGATGCGCTAGATGGATCTTCAGTATTCAGTCTCTCAGAAACAGGCTGAAAGCACGGCTTCAAAACACACATCATGGATATACCCAATCTTTCCTACGGTCGGGCCGGTCGCATTTGCAGATTGCAACAAATCATACAATAAGTGACATGAAGACATGAATAAAAGAGCACACGTGTTTTGGATTCTCCGATTTCACCGCAAGAGTGATGTCTGGAACGACGAACGGCCCGAGTCCGGGTGCAAGAAGAATAAAAACAACCTTAATATGTGACGATGAAGTAGATGCCTTGAGTTCGTCATCCCCGAGCTCTTCCTGTTTCACCACAACTTCTTGGCTCTGTTTCAAGATAGTAGCAAGAGTTTGCTTCTCCTTGTTATCAGGAGCTGACGTGCCCACATGTGATATCTAAATGAACGCTGTCAATTTTCGTGGACTGTATGCATAACAAACTTTTCACCTGCATTTCACGCGATGTCGTCCATAAAGGTGTAGAAAAGTACCGCCGCAATACATCATTCATAAAAATCCAAACATACTTCGCAGTTATAGTCACTTCCCCCTAAAAGTCAAATTTCATTGCACCAATCTGACCGCTTCGTCTGGTAAGTCTTACGTTCATCTCTTCTATTACGCCATTTATAAAGGTGACAACATGATTTGGAATGTCAGTGAGGGTTACATATGCTCCACTCGTGTTGTCTTGAAAGCATGTGTAATGCTTCCCGACTACGGCCATCTCTCCACATATGAAATGCGCCTGTACAAAATGAATGAAGTGACCAATTACTATATACTCAAGTAGATAAAACTCACAGCCTGAACAAAGTGATCATGGCAGAGGTACTTTCTTTGAAAACAGCATTGTTCAAACACCTGCCGAGCAGCCGATCTTTCAACATATCCGTATCCGGTGAGGCAAGCTACCAGTATGCCATTGATCATCTGGGACCTTGATGAAGACCTCATCTCAGGTTCAGGAAGTCTCTCTCCACAAACGGCGCACGACTTTTTTCCTCTTTTTGAGGAGCTCTGTAATATGAATCAGATCATTAATATCGTAACAATGCAATCGAACACACCCATTACTCCACAGGATGACGTCAGACTTTGCGAATCCCGCGACTCACTGGATTCGCAAACTCTAAAACATGGTCATACCCTACTCCGGCCCTCTTATTACGGTGTATTTGCTCACTGAACCGTGCACTTCCCTTGACTAAGTTATCTTCTGTGTATACGCAGACTTTTGAATAATGAGTCTTTTGCTCGATGCTCTTTTATTGACAACGATGTAGCTGATATCCTGAGTTCGAGCGCCCTCGCAGATTGTTTGAGCTCTAACGAGAAAGACCGCCATCGGGTATAATCGAAAGTGTGCGACCAGTTTGTTAGATCAAAAACTTAAAAAAGTATCCAAAGTGAGAGTACAGTCTGCCACATCGATTTCAAGCGAATTCGAGGCCATGATGACGAAGAACGCTAAAAACGAGCGGCGTTTAAAAAAAAACTAATTAGTTCTTAGTGAGATGAAAAATGATCAGGGTCACAAAAAGAGTAAGCCGATCCAGCCTGTGAGCTGTCGCCAGCAAACATTCCAAATTTGAACTTGTTTTTTCATTGGTTCCAAATATACTTTCGCTGCTCGAGATGTATTGAAGTCTTACGGTAGGCACAACCACTTCAGGTGTGCGCTTACCCATTCAATTCGCTGTAACATTGCCGTCAGCCAACTTCACAGGATCCAAAAAGTGGTGAAGGCGGAGATATACATAGGTTCCAGAAGGGTTATGTATCACACGTATGGCACCTGTAGCGAACTGACTTCGGCTTCTAGCAATATATCGATCGTGCCTCAACAGTGCGCGCTCTCGACAGCTCGACAGCTTGGCGCGCCTTTAACGGGGGTACAACATCAGATGGACATCCTGCCCATCCTGGGTCATCGAGGTTCCCTGGGAAAGGGAGACGGAATCCAATGCGAAATAAAGAGCTAGGGAAATGGACGAGAAACTCGTCAAATTGAACGCCAATGTAGGATTGTCCCAATAAACACTAAATTCATTAACTGGTTCCATACTTTGACCCTGCCAACGTTTTAGCGACTTAGGTTTATCAACAAAGTATTGATTCGGCTCAATTATCATGCAGTCGATTGTTTTGCAGGACTGTAAAATTTTTTAATAATTTGAAATTTACCCGCATAGAGTTCATTCTAGTGCCTTACCGTACGGATGCTCTAGCTCCTCTCCTTCCTTCCTGATAGGGACCTATTTATGTCACCTATCTACTCCTCCAAAAAGGAAGTATATTCCCAAGATAGTTATGAAGTGGAATAAAAACATTCTGCATGTATTGGAAAATTTTCGAGTTTGCTGTGCAAATTAACTCCCCGATACCATCGAAGACAAACGCCCCGTCATTGATGGGCACGGAGAAGGAAAGACTCTTAAAAGGGTGCTAAGTGAGTTGGGGACCACGCGGCAGCGCCGTTTTTCCAGCGGCGGGGACTAAGTCTGAGCACAGGAACGAGTGGGTAAATTGTGAACTTATGATTTATGATTGACTTTTGGGACTTTGAACCTCCTTCTAGGCTCATGCTCACGCAAGGGAAGTCTTTCAGGACAGGAAGCGCTTTCTCGAGACTGCTTGTTGCACGTTATAGGAGCACGTGCGTGGAGCTTAAATCTGATGATCATTTTTCCTGAGCGGCCCTTTAATTGCCAAAAAGAGGGCAGGAAATTTTTTTGAAAGTGGAACTTTTCTACTTCTAATAAATTCTACAGCATTTGTAGAGTTGAATAGTTGCATTTTGGAAGCTTTTTTCACTGAATAAGTTCAGACATATATGAGCCCAAGAAAGTGGAAATCAGAGAAATGCAAAAATTTGTCCTCAGTGGGGATCGAACCACAAGCCATGGTTTCGACATGTTTTTTAGCATTCCCAGAGCCGCTCAGAAAAAAATTATTCTCAGTTTATGCTCCCTGCGCGTGTCTCTATAAAATGCAAAAACCATTCCATGTCCTGAAAGACTTTCCTGGTTGAGGCCATTGTGTTAGCCAGACCGCCGCCGCGTGGGTCTCCCTCCAACTCACGCAGCACCTATGAAAGTTCTAATCTAAGAGGGCATAAATGAATGTTTGGCATTGTACAAAACCTGCCTTGTTTGAGTGAGACGTTACGTCCATGCTGTCTCCATTATTCCGGTCCAGAGTAAACGGCCCTCCGCTCCATGCAGCCTAAACATTTGTGGCCTCTCAACATTTCCTATCTTCAGCTGCTGGATTATACAAAAAAAACATAACTTCGAAAGGAAGCACCTTGAATTTAAATAACCCATAACGACAATGCTAGGCACTAGTTTGCCCCAACAATCCCGAGATCTCAATATTTCATTTCATGTCGAAACTTTAGTAGTAGGAGTGATTTACTGCCCTAGTAAGGACCATAACACTCGCTTTCGTGCTAGCATTTGGTGCTGTAGGTATCAAGTCGGTTCAACGCCGGATCGCCCAATTGAAGCGTAAACCATAAACTTTGGCGTGAATTTATCAGTACACTGCTTTCGAATATGACATGTTTGGTGCAAATGTTGCATTATCAGGACCGTAAAAGTACTCGACGCAAAATCTAACAACACACCTTTCCAAAGTCCCACTAGTGGAGACGCTAAAGATTGTAATATTTGAATAGCATAACTTCAGAATTCGTTGAGCAATGAGAGCGATGGAGCAAATAAACAACACAAACATGAAAAATGAACAATGTAATACGAACGCTGCTATTGCACAGATGGCTCTAGCCGCTGAGTGCAACTACACCATATTGGAATGTACCGTAACCTGACGTCTAATTTTATGCAGTAGTTGCTCCGATGATAAGCTGGTTGCTCGAATGGATCGAGCTGGGGTCTAGCGGAAAATGTCGGTTCTTCGTTGTCACGTCCCTCTAGAACACAACCTCCCATTCAAATTCGATTAGGGTTGGCAGAGTCTCGCGCTGATGGAGTTCCTGCGCTTAGACCGACGTCATAGTCGGCGACGGACCAAGCGATGGAGCGATCGCGATCGCTCCATCGCTTGTCCGTCGCTTGCCAATCGCTCTCGGTCGAGCGATTGGCAAGCGATTGCGCAATCGCTTGCAAAGTGCACAAGCGACGGGCAATGGCTCTGCTCGATCGATACCGCAGCCGACTGCATTGACTGGGGGCGGGGCCAATCGCCCGTCGCTTGTGCACATTGCGCAATCGCTTGCCAATCGCTCGACCGAGAGCGATTGGCAAGCGACGGACAAGCGATGGAGCGATCGCGATCGCTCCATCGCTTGGTCCGTCGCCGACTATGACGTCGGTCTAACTTCAAGCAACGCGTACAAGTTGAGGCTGATACGAAGTTATTACGTCGACTGAAGGTCTTGCGGTAACGCACCGAGTACAGGCCGCTGCAAAGGAAGATTTTAGCGCCGGAAGTATTGGGTAGGGTTACCTCATACCGTAACGCTCGTATTCGAGACAAACGTTGGAAGAGTAAAAATATAAAACTAATCAATGACCGTTTCTTAATTATGTACAAGTCTGATTCCATTTCGCAAGAAATCACCAGATTTGGAAAAATAGTGAGTCTGTTCGGAGCAGGGTCAACCCTATCGTTGTTACTTATTCGAAAAATTTTTACGACCCCCCTCCCCCAAGGTGGATTTGGTACGACCCCCCTTCCGACACCTCGACCACCATATTCCTCTCTATAACATTAACTTCCACTACCACTCAACCCTCAAAACTCCGCCCACTTTTTCCTCCAAAAATGCCGTCGAGCGGGGGGGGGGGGGGGGGGGGGGGGGGGGGGGAGGG